GGGCTGGGAAGGGTCGGGATGGGCTGGGAAGGGTCGGGAAGGGCTGGGAAGGGTCGGGAAGTGTTGGGAAGAGTCCCTCGGGCCGGCTGCGGCACCGCGGGCAGCGACAGAAGAGCCCGAGGTGTCCCCGCGGGATGGGCAGGGGTAAGGACCGGGATAAGGACCGGGATAAGGACAGGGACAGTCACAGCCCTCCCGGCGAGGCTCCCAAGCAGCGAGAGCCAAAACAGCTGGGCCGTTCCTCTGCTAATAACGGGCTGGAAATGATAGATTTTACATTGGGTAAAACCGGCTTTATTCCAGCAAAAGTAAGATACTGCTAATTATAAAGTCAATAAAAGTACCGGTGCTGTCGATTGATCCCGAATAGAGCAGTTCATTAATGTGTGCATGAGAGCATGGCAGCCCCAGCCTCAGACACCCTCTCCCTCCTCCAAATAAACCTGCCAGGTCCTACCTGCTCTGCTTAAAGCACAACCGGTTGAGGTGGAGCTGCCCAACAATCCTGTGCAGGTTTTTGGGGGTGTGACACAAGCAGGAACCTCAAACCTTCCCCCAGCTCTTGGCATGTCTGTCTTCAAGATGGTTGTAATAAAAAGTCAGGGAAAATGGGCTTTCGTCCTATCAGGGAAGGTGATTGGATGGTGTGAGAGAACTGTGTGGTTTTTAGCATAGCTGTGATTAAAATAAAATAGTCTTAACGGGATGTTTTTGGACAGGAACACTCACATTCCTGATTTCCTTGCGCTGGAATCCCTAATAAGTCTACAGGCCAACAGAAGTTGGCCAGGACTCTTCTGTTTCTATTTTATTTCTTAGAGTGTCTGAACCTCTATAAAACCCCGCAGATCTCCCCAAATGTAATTATGGGTATTTCATGAACCAGCCAGCTCTCACAATCTGCGCTTCCTGCAGATAAAACTTTTGTTGGGGCTGACAGGGAGAGGCGCTGGCCTGAGCAGGGGGCTGGAGAAGGGATCCAGGAATCCTGCAGGAAGGAGCAAACACCTGCTCCTGTGCTGGCCGAGCCCCTGGGTGCTCCCAGCAGGATTCCGGGGGGCTGGAGGAGCAGTTCCCACTTCTGCTGAGTCTCTGCAGCAGCAGCAGCAGCGAGGAGAGAGGGGCAGGGAGCAGCCAGAGGTCTGGCAGGGAGCTCCAACCCCACCGCTCCTGCAGGATCTGGGCTCTCCACGCAGCAACGCTGGCAAGGAGCAGGGGAGGAAGCTGAAAACGTGCTGAGTCCTGGGCACAAACCTGCTGTGCCCCGTGGTGCTCTCCCACTGCTCAGCCTCGCTCCAGGCCCGGCTCTGAGTCTCCTTTTGGGGGAGCAGCACGGGAAAAGCACCCCAGCCTTGTGGGATGCAGCCACGGAATAAATGATGTGTTGTGCTGACAGTACAGCCTGTGCTCTTTCCTGCCCAGTAAATATTGATACTTGTTCCATTTTGTGGCTGTTCCCGTTTTGTTTGCCCTTGAATCCTCAGTCCCTGGCTATTTCTGAGCCTGATTTCCCTCACTGTGAGGTACCAGCAAGTGAAAGGCACCTTAAAAGTCCATTCCTGTGTAGGTTTGAGGAATAAAAGCAGGAGATCTGGGTCCCTTTGGTGGTTCTGAGGTGGGCAGCAAAGTTCTGCAGGGACCTGGAAAAGTTGTGCTCATTTTTAAATTTCACTTCCCTGCATTCAAGCAGCCACGGCCCCTGATTTTCCTGGAGGATCCGGTGAGTGTTCCCAGCCACGGCAGCTGTCACTACTCACACTTTACACCAGCACTCAGCCTCCTCTCCAGGTGTTCTTTAGGCAATTAAGTTGGTGTGAGTGAAGGAAATCCTCAGAATTTTCGACACCCCGAGTCTCCCAGCCTCTGGGGTTTGGGATGCCTTTGTGCTGCTCTGCCAGCTCCTCCTGGCCCGAATTCCTGGGGGCAGATCAGAGCCAGCAGAGCCACGGATGCCCTCAGCCCTGTGCCAACACCAGGCTGCTTTGACAAGGGAAAGGGCCACAAAAGGGAAAGGGCCACAAAAGGGAAAGGGCCACAAAAGGGAAAGAGCCACAGAACCCCTGCCCTGCCCAGTGTGAGCTGATTTTTGGTGCTGTGAGTGCAGGATCTGTGGGAATCTGCCGAATCATCCCTGTGTGCATCCCCTGCAGCCAGCTCCTGCTCCTTCTCCTCCTGCAAGGTCATCTCGTGCTCAGCACAGCCTCAACTTTTCCTCCAGAGGGAAGGGAAGCTTTTCCCTGATCAGGGAAAGAGGTTTGGGGATGTTTTCCTCCATAGCAAAGGGTTTATGGCCTTTGCACGTCTGCTCACCAAACACCCACGTGCTTCCAGCAGCCTCTTTTCACACAGGGAAAAATCACCCGGGGAGAAATTCTGGGAGAGGGTTCCAAAATGGGGAGGCAAAAAATGCACAGAAGGAACGAGGGGCAGTTCCTCAGCAGCTACAGCCAGCCTGAAAGCACCGAGGATGCAAAGCTGGGTTGATAAACCACAGTGCCAGAGCTTTGTGGCTCGTTCAGGGACCAGAGGAGAGCTTCAAAAACGCTCCCAGGAGTGCAGCAGGCTGAGATCCCACGTGTGGAGGGTGACACCAGCCTGGGGCTGCAGCCCTGGCTGTGTGGGGTCACTCGGGGTGACTGCTGCCTGCACGTCCCCTCCCTCTGGCAGCTCTTTGGAACTCCCACCTTGGCTTCTGCACCTCCTGGACCAGGCAGGCAGCATCCACAGCTGGTGAGCTGCTCCCATCCAGCTGTTGACATCCAGCTGTTGGTGTCTGGCACGCCCAGCTCAACGTGGCCCCGGCACCAGAACTGTCACTCGAGCCTTTTGGGCTCCTGGGTGTGCATGAAGTGCTCTCCTATGGCTGTGAAATGGGAATTGTGCTCGGAACTTGGTGGCTGTGGGGGCACGTTGACCCCA